TGGGTGGTGGTTTGGGGAAGGGCAAACGCCAGGGTAAAGAGTTGAAGGGCAAGCGCATTTCACCCCTTCAAAAGTTTGGCACGAGTCCCGTACTTTGTGGCGTCACCTAAGCCAATCGTCGCAGGGCGGAGCCAGCGCGGGACCTTCGATTTGTCGGGGTCCAATGTAGGGGGCCTGTGCGTCAGCCGGATGACGGATGACCGTCAGCCGGATGACGGATGACCGTCAGCCAACCAGAAAGGACCTACGATACCACCGAACCAAAACGGGCGTCAGTCACCACACCCTGCCTCTTCCGATTTCTGAGACCGTTTCTTTTTCTTCAACATCATACCTACCCACAGTGTGGCAGTGGCGGGCTAATGCCAACCGCTCATCTACTATGGAGGCCCTTCCTACGGAACTGATACACCATATTTGCACTCATCTCTGCGACCATTGCCAGCGCCCAGGTTCATTTCCTCACGCCGAGAGTTGGGGCGTGCGTCGGAGAAAAGCAGCACTGGCCAACCTATCTGCAGCATCGTCACGGCTCCGCGCCATCGCGCAGCCCTTGCTCTTTCATTATTTCGCGACGGGAAACATGGCACCTCATGGTTACTGGCCCGACGAGAGGCACGCGGGACTGACCATGGAATTCGCTGAAAGAGCCAAAAAGTTGCCTCTTTTCATCCGCAGCGCCATACAACGCCCCGACCTCGCTGCCAAGGTGAAGGCTCTGCAGCTCGTCGAATTTGGTGCCACTACGGCCTTTACTTCCCGCAAGATCGGCGACGAGTCCAACGAGATGGACGTTCTGGCGGGCTGCATGGGGCCTATATTCGAAAAGACGCGCCGTGCTCTGCCCGACGAAAGTCGAGAAGATTCTGCCTCCTGGAAGTGGGTCGTTAATCAGTGGTCGGATGGCACCAAGCGGCGGGACCCCGTTCTGCTGGTCCAAATTGCTCTTCTTCTGATCCCTAACCTAGAGAGACTGAGCGTCGCTCACGACTTCTCCGGGTATGAGTTCTTGGAAATTTCAAATTGCAATGGGCCCCTTACATCACTCAAGAGCATCGCTTTGCTACCCTGGATCGGGTACTTCCACATTCAGGAGGCAAAAGGCCTCTTCGCCGCCGCCCCAAATCTTGAGACGTTGTACGCCTCTAATTGCGGCTTCAAAGAGCCAGGTTACTATCCGTACCGTGGCGTCCCATTCGATCTGAGCCTGGGGAATCTGCAAAAGTTGGTTATCGGCGACCTTGAATTCGTCGACTTGGAAGCGCTGCTCCCCGCATGTCCTCAACTACAGGAACTCCAGTACGTCCGTCCAGAGGATGAGGAGGACGACTACCAAGACATGGATGCGCTGGAAGTTTTGATGCCGGTTCAGAAAACGCTACGCACGCTGAAGATTAAGTTCACCCACTGGGAAAAAGATAGCGCCCATCTCACGACAATCGAGTCCCTCAAGGGCTTTATTGCGCTGGAGGAACTAGTCATTGAGCAAGCTACCATCCCGGATGGCGCGAGGGTGGTGGATTGGCTGCCACCGTCAGTTGAGCGTGTGCACTTTCGAGATGTCACCAAAGTATCTTCATTAATGGACCACCTGAGCCTCGTGGCCTCGGAAGCCCCCACGAAGCTGCTTAAATTGCAATATGTCCGTATCAGCCCGTGGTACCTTCCTGATTGGAATGGAACCGGTCTTTCCTGTATAGCTTCGGTGGACGTCACGGCCGCGTTCAATCAGGCCGGGATTACGGTTGAGTATGTCGCCCCAAGGATCGGCGAGCAAGAGCCATGGCTGGATTTGGTCTACCCTGAGCTGGTAGGGAAGATTCAAGACTACACTTATTTTTGATGATGGATTAGAATTGGAACAGCGTCTACTAGGATCAGCAATGATCTTTCTCCTTGTAACGGTCTCAGGTAGTATATTGCAACTAGCTGATGACGACTCTATGTAACGGTCTCAGGTAGTATATTGCAACTAGCTGATGACGACTCTACGAGTACACTGAACTTGGAGAAGAAAAGGAGAGACGACAGACTCTGGTAGCTCGCAAGCATACTTATCCTCGTCGGCGCGCTGGTCTGAGCGCGTTGCTAGAAGGTTCGGTGTGCTGTGGGGCGAGTGGGAATAGCCTCATCAGGGGTCTTGGTATTGGCCGAGAGTCGCCGAGGCTCGCACCGGGCCCAGCCCGTTACATCAATTCGTGGACACAGAGGCGCCCACGCAAGGCGGAAGCATATCTCTGGTATCTACGCCTCGGCCATCCTGGACCTGGAGCTCTTGAGCACCTGGTCAACAGCACTCGAGGAGTTAGGATCAAGGGGATCACTACACCCGAGTGCGACTTATGTGCAAAAGGCAAGATGCACCGCCGAGAACACCGCACACCGCGAGATATTGCAGACTTCCGCCTAGGCGAGAAGCTCGCCCTTGACTTCCACGATTTCGAACCGGACAAAGCGGGTTACGACTCACTCCTGCTAATCGTCGACAGGGTCTCGGGGTACATATGGGATTTCTATATGCAAGATCGGAAAACCGACACAGTCATCACAGCGCTCCACGCGCTCATCGGCATACTCGAACGCCAACACGGGATCAAGGTCAAGGCCATGGAAAGCGATAACGAGATCATCTCAGAATTTCCCGGGGTAAAACGCTACTTGGAGAGCAGGCACATCCGTACCGAACCATCTCCAGGAGATACACAAGCCCTCAATGGTGCTGCCGAGCGCTCCTGGAGGACAGTCAAGGAGCAGATCACCGCTATACGCGATAGTTCGAAGCTCTCGAACGCTCTGTGGAGGGAAATTAGCAAAGCCGCAGTCTATGTAACGGGCTGGGCCCGGTGCGAGCCTCGGCGACTCTCGGCCAATACCAAGACCCCTGATGAGGCTATTCCCACTCGCCCCACAGCACACCGAACCTTCTAGCAACGCGCTCAGACCAGCGCGCCGACGAGGATAAGTATGCTTGCGAGCTACCAGAGTCTGTCGTCTCTCCTTTTCTTCTCCAAGTTCAGTGTACTCGTAGAGTCGTCATCAGCTAGTTGCAATATACTACCTGAGACCGTTACATAGAGTCGTCATCAGCTAGTTGCAATATACTACCTGAGACCGTTACATAGAGTCGTCATCAGCTAGTTGCAATATACTCGTAGAGTCGTCATCAGCTAGTTGCAATATACTGCCTGAGACCGTTACAGTCTACCTGCTCAACCATACGCCACGCAAGCGTCTCGGATGGAAAACGCCGTACAAGGTCTTCCACTCGAAGGGAGATACGTGTCACGGGATTCCCCGTTCCTCTTGTCATGGTTGTGTCATATGCTTGCGGTTATGCATACGTCATGGGGTCTGATCATACGTCTATGGTCATGCTTACGCATAGGCCTCTGCTCCAGTACTTAAGGTCTGGTTGCACGCCCATTCCTGTCATCTAGCTCTTGCTCTCGTTGTAGCAATATCGATCTTGTATGTGCGAGCTGACCAGACCTTGGGTGGTGCCCGTCACAATACGCGCCGAAAGCCCGACTTGACCACCTTACGAGCTTACGGTTGCAAAGCATATGCGATGACCACTACAGCAATGCGAAAGGAGCAGCGCCTCAAGCGCTTCAATCCAAAAGCATAGATCGGATACCTCGTTGGTTATACTTCGGCCAACACGTACCGTATCTGGAACCCAGTGCTCAACAAGGTTGTAATCATGCGAGATGTGATTTTCAACGAAGAAGAAACGTTCAGTGGTGCGCTCGAAGAGCTTCGGGATGATATTCAAGAGCCCGATCTAGATGAGTTGTCCACCCTTTTGCAAGAATATACCCTCCTAGAGGAAGCTGAAGAGCAGGAATAACCCAGCGCTCGCACCTTGGGAGGTAGAGGAAGCCCTCCTGGACTCAACAGCAGAGATCCACAATACGAATATTGTTAATGCAGGCGCAGCCCCTCGCGGCTTTGAAATCATCCGCCAAGCTGTGGAACCAACCTCTCACGGCTCTGAATCCATCCGCCAAGTTGAGGGAGCCTCTCGCCTACAAACCGGCCAAGCTCCGGGAAGCTCTCGCGATAACGATCGCTACCTCCCCACTCCTGCAGAAGCTCACACAGCTTCAGAATTCACGATGCCTCCCATAGCCAGCTAAAACGCTAGCGAGTCGGTGGGAAAGCTCTATACCGAGGCGCGGTTTGAGCCTTTTCTCACGCCACCTCCTTCTCCACCAGTTGCTCTGTCAGCTGCAGTGTTGATTAGGTCCGCGCACCGAATGGACACAGGGCTCTGTCCAGGAGGAACGTTTGGGAATGCCAGAGAGGAGCTCTCGCAGGGTTCGATTACTGTTCAACACGGTGCGTTCCATGCAGACAACTCTTAGGTCTCCCGCCGCGCATGCGAGGATGACTCCCGCGCAAGCGAGGATGTCTCCCGCGGACTGTTGGAAAGGCGCTTTCTATGTCGGCATAAAGAGCTCGACGACCACCCATTTGGTGAGCTATTCAAGAAAGCAGAACTTGACCACTGCAGGAGCACGAGAAGATGCACTCGTGGATCGAGATTTTTGACGCGTGACCCACGCGCGAAAGGGCATAATATCCTTGGATGTCGATGGGTATACGTATATAAATCTGACAAGCATGGCAGATTCGTCAAGGCAAAAGCGCGCCTCGTTGTCAGGGGTGATCAACAACTTCGAGGCGCTCACGAGAATACAGACACCGCAACGCTCGCCGGAAGATCGTTCAGGGCTATTATGGCAATTGCCGCGCATTTCGACCTCGAGCTCCTCCAGTTCGACGCAGTCAACGCTTTCGTCAACGCCGAACTCGACGAGGATATCTTCATGCGTATGCCACCATGGCACAGACGCGTGGGATGGATCCTAAAGCTCAACAAGGCACTCTACGGACTACGCCGCTCACCGCTTCTTTGGCAACGAGAATTTACGCAAGCGCTTAAGGCGCTCGGATACGCGCCTGTGCCTCACGAGCCGTGTGCTGACACCAGAAACGGCATCAGAAACGGCATCATCATCTTCTTCTATGTCGAAGATATCGTTATCACCTTCAAGGATACCAAGCGCAAGGAAGCGCTTAAAACTGTGGAACAGTTGCAGACGCGTTACCGGCTTACCGGTGGAAATGATCTGCAGTGGTTCTTAGGTATCGAAGTCATCAGAGACCGTCAGAAACGCTTGATCTGGCTTTCGCAGTCCTTATACATCGAGAAGATCGCCGCATTGGCACAATCTAAACGACCTGCGCGCTCTTCAATGACGAAGGAAGAACTCTTGCCATTCGAAGGCATCGCCACCACGCGGGAAATCACAGTCTACCTTCGGAAGATTGGCTCCCTACTCTACGCGGCTGTCATCACGCGCCCAGACATCGCATTCGCCAGGTCAAGGCTCGCACGCTTCACCACGAACCTAGGACCAGAGCAGCAGAAAGCTACAGACCGAGTGCTTTACTACTTGGGTCAGGCCAGCACTCTCCGACTCTCGCTCTCCAACTGGGTGGGTCAGACGACTTGCGTATCGCTAGCGATGCCTCCCACGCCGACAACACGCTTAACCACAAAAGCAGCCAGGGATTTGCCATCAAGTTCTTCGGCGGTTTGATCGCATGGCGCGCCAACAAGCAGGATACGGTCACGACTTCCACTACCGAAGCCGAGCTCCTAGCGCTCTCGCAAGCAGCCAAGGAAGGGCTCTACATCAACCGCATGATCCGAGAGCTAGGCATCAAACTCGACACGCCACGTATCACCATCGAATGCGACAACAAGCAAACGATCCGCCTTGTGACGGAAGAGCTCGCCAAGCTGAAGACGAGCTTACGGCATGTGGACATCCACAACCATTGGCTGCGCCAGGAATATGCGCGTGGGAAGATTGATGTGACGTACACGGAGAGCGCCAAAATGATGGCTGATGGCCTCACAAAGGCCCTCGTGCAAGGAACGTTTGAGAACTTCAGAGAGCAGATGGGACTTGTGGACGTGCGAGAACAGCTTACGGAGCGCAGGAGGAAGGAGGACAATGCCACTCGAAGCTATTCAGAGGAAGGAACGGCCAGCCTCGCCCTCGCGGGCTCAACTGGGGGGGTGTGTTGGAAGTGAAGGCACTTGAAACTCGGAAACTGGGTTGCCGGTATCGTACCCTGGCCAGGGGTAATACACAGCTGTTACATCAGGTCTGGAGGCACCCAGGCAAATTGGAGAAGGAGAAGAAAAAGAACCCTCAATGGACAGATTCTGGGCTGGTCCCGGGTGCTCGAGAAGTTCACCGTTTTAACGGCTCCCATAAGCGTATCACCGTGGAATCGTGGCTGTTGGCTTCCCAACAGCAAGATTGTCAGTACCCTTGGACATTGCTTGTTGTGAACCATTTGGCTTAACCGAACCTCACCCCGTTGTTAAGTTATAGCCTTCAGGAGCCCCTTTCAGAAGTTGGGGCTTCGAGATTCGTCACAAAAAGCCAACGACAATGGGGGTCTTAAGCGCTAAGGAAGGAACTGTCACGGCCCCCACCATGAGCCCTACACTTGGGCAATTGGCGGGCGAGACACTGTGGATTTCATGGCGCAGCGACATGACTCGCAGCAGAGAGAGGATATCTGGAGAGCAGGAGACTCAGATTGGAACTTGGAACTTCCCTTTCTCAAGGATCAGTCAGTTGGTTAGTGGTGCACGCACAATACAGTCGTTTTGCCTGCTGCCTGTTGAGGATTCGGTGCATCTTCCTTGGTGAGCTTGTGTGTGTCACCTTACAGGAACTTAAAGGTGGAGAAATACGGTGGGGTTCCAAAAGTCTGTTACCACCCCACCCACTTTACGCGTCTCCTCGACGCGTCCACTATCATCCTCGAACTTTCACACCACCACAACTTCCCCAAATGGCACTCAATTTGACCGATTTGGGCCGCATCTTGACGGCTGGTCGCAAGAAACACGAGGAATTGAGCCCTGCTGCACGTGCAGCCATTTGCGGTGCGGTGGCAGCTGGGGTTAGCCAACGCACCGTGGCAGCCGCGTTCGGCGTGTCGCATGTCGCTGTGTCCAAGACTGTTCAACACTTTACAGCTACCACATCCTTCGATTCCAAGCCAAGGAGCGGCCGGCCCAGGTTCTTATTCGACGGGATAAGCGGTATATTGTCCAGTTGGCCAAGCGCAACGCCCGGCTCACACGCCAACAGCTCCTAAAGGTCCTAGACCGAAAGGTGTAAAGCTCGACAGTCCGTCGTGCTCTCCGCGAACACAACTACCGAAAATGGAGAGCATCGAAGCGAATACCACTTACGATCGAGGTGGCAAAGGACCGGTATGCCTTTGCATGTTATGCGTTGGAAAATATGAGATCTCCTTCGTGTAAGTTGGTTGATGGTTTCTCCTCGTTAAAGTATTTTCTAACATAATTATTGCTAGACTTTGTTCAGCGACGAATCCTCTTGCCAAAACAACACGAGTAGTTCAACTGCATGGGTCTTTCGGCTACCTTCGCAGAAGTGGAAGCCAGACTTTGTCAATCTCCAAAATCATGTCAAGGCCAACATATCTATCAT